CCCCCCCACGTACCATCAGCGTCCCAGCCACCTTCCACTTGGTAAGATGCCGTGGCCACGCCCCACATGAAGTCACGTGGGAAGGTGTCGTACAGGAACTCGTCCCGGTCTGCTGGGTCTGGGGAAAAAACCCAGAAGGAACCGAGATCAAACCCCTTCATTACTGAAACGTCTTTATCTACGTCTGTACAGACAAAATACAATGTTTATTCAAGAGAGATGCTACACTTCTTCCCCCGAGACCTAACGTTGACAACACACTTTGTGGAACATTACAGCAACTTCATCAAAGCTGCAGTTATCACTGCATGGCATTGGACAGAAGGTGGAGGGCCCAGCTGTTGCTGGATCGACAACAACAACAACAACAACAACAACAACAACAACAACAACAACAACAATAACAACAACAACAACAATAACAACAACAACAACAATCACAACAACAACATTCGAAAGAGATTTAAACAAAGCAATAATATTATTATCTTCCCCTTATTTAAGAATTAACAGTTGCAAAAGCGGTAGTAGCACCTTCGAAACCTACCTCTATAGTCCAATAGAAAAAAGACAGCACTGAGCAAGATTTGGAGAACACAAGCATACGTCTACACAGCAGTGGAGAAATTTTTAACTATTGAGGACGTAGAGCTACGTTCAGGTTATTCGACGACCCTTGAAGTTGCGCTGTTTTGGGGCACTTAAAGTAAAGTCGTTCCCGCATCCGATCCGGACATTGGGGATTGACTTGTTAGTGAGACAACTTCCTGGGCCTTTGGCATAAATTATTGTGGTAAGGTTGCCAGTTTCTATTTTCGGGGCACTTAAATAACTTAATTATTTTTATATACATTTTTCAATTCTCTTTTCTTTTTCTGAAACCTAAAAAAGACAGACAGCACCATGGATATGCTTACTATAAAATGTTCACATCTGTGTTTCTGACTTGTGTATGATCGTTCGAACATGCAACAACATGGCCTTTGGTTTGCTATCGGACGTATTGTTTTATTACATTTCCTCTAGGTACTTACAGCACAGAGTCACTGAAAGAACCAAACCAATTAGTTGTTTGTGAAACAGCGAACGTGAAACAAGTTCTAATGTTCTTTTTCATGTAAACCTTTAAAGAACCAAAGTACGTAAGCGAAACGCTTTAATTTCAAACTTTACTTCCACGAGGTTCCGCTAGTAAGAGGGATCTTCTAAAAGTATAAATATAGTTGTAGGTCTATGGGTGAGCGAATTTTTGCTTGATGGAGTATCTTCACACTCACACGCCCTGTAAGTGACAAGTTCGTCAGTGAGTACGTCATTTGCGATCATCAACTTGTAGAAAGTGTGTAGTTCCTGTAATACATTGTAATTGGTTGCTTTTAATGACAAGCGGGCTAACCCAGATTTCGGGGGGTTTCCAGAAATCTTGACATATACTAAAAGTGGGCATTGCCATGCTTATAATTTGAGAAGTTTGGTTTCTTTGGTGCGTATATTTGTTTGGTTATAGAAAAAACTCTCTTTGTCTTTTAAAAAAACTGAACAAGAGGCAAAACCTTTACCTTCGATTTTCTCAAAACATCATTTTTCGGGATAACCCCCTTGTGCTTAAAAGCGACCAATTATTCGTGGGATTTGGGATGAAGGGTCATTGTTTACGTATTAATAACCAAACTCACAAGCCCTGTAGACAACAAGCTCGTCGGTGAGTCCGTTATTTGCGATCATCTTCTTGTAGAAAGTGGCGGAGGAGCGCGGGAAACGACGCTTCTCTCCTTTGTCCATGTCCACGTAGTACAGGCCGCTCTTGCTGGTGTAGCCCAGTGACCAGTCGAAACCGTCCAGGAGTGACCACACGAAGTAGCCTCGCACGTCACATCCGGCCTTGATGGCTGTTCAGAACATATAGTACAAAACTGTTTTCGGAAAGCCTCCAAAATAGCATGTCTTTCTGTGTAAACGATATCATTGTCTATATACGATATGCAGATGGGTATATAAACACAAGGCTTAGGGGAAATCAAAGGATATTTTTTATGAGGGGGGTGGGGGTGGGGGTGTTAATATTTCAGCTTTGAGATAATTGCATTTTCTTAAACTGTGGTATCGGTTGCATGTGGTCAAGAAATATTTTGTCGAAATTCAATCTGTACATTTGTAAAAAGCAGGAAAATATTAATTATGTAGGAATAATTAAGGAAACTGTTTTCTCTCTCTCCACAAAACAAATGCTTTCTGAGCTTAGTATACCGGAGAAGCTTGCCAACAAAAGACATATTATATTAGATTCTAACAGCCAGCATATTGTTGCTGTACATACATACATACATACATACATACATACATACATACATACATACATAC